TGATGAAGATCAAGCTATGGCACTTGGGAACTCTAGTTCATCGCTTTCTCTCTCTAGGAATCGCTCTGTCTCTCTAAAACTCGGAACCCCCCGATTTTTGGCCTTCTTTTCCTTTAAAACTGCTGCCTGTCGCGATACCCGGTCGAAATACCCGGTCGGGTATTTTGGATCTCGACCGGGTATAGTTGAAACGCACGTTTTGCCTCAGGAATAAATCCCCGGTCTCTTCCAATAATCCCCGACCGGGGATTTTCGCCTCCTGCCCGGGCCCCCTTATGTTTCTCACGGTCGCCCAAAGCCAAAAATCCCCGGTCATGGCCAGATAAAACCCGGTCGGGTATTTCTGCTCATGACCGGGTATTTTTGCTCTCCAACACACTTCAAGCCTCACTTGCTCCTTTCGACCCAAATCTCGTTCCTTCGCCTCGATTCCAACGCCGGGTCCTGAAATATGACATAAACGTACAACCTCGCTTGAAATCGGCTTAAAACACGAGAATCAACATCTCAAACGGCTCAAGAATAGGGGTAAAAACATGTGCAATTATCGGTCTATTAGATATTTTGGATACCAACCGCTTGAAGCTAACAATGCAAAGACTTCTTCCTACTACAAAAATTGAACAAACTCATCAATTCTCCACCCATACTTACTGTTCCTTGCAAATCAATGAATTGACAAACTCGTTGATGTTCTTGTTGGAGCTCCCACCTTTACTGACAGCTTCCTTCATCACTCTCTACCATTGCTCTGCATTCATCTTCATCTCTTCTCCTTTCTTCCCTCCCATCACTTCCCTCAAACACTTCTCCACTACTCCCCTCTTCACAATCCCATCCTCTCCCGCCTCGGCCCTCATCCCTATCTTCCAGACATCCTAAATGTACTTAGCATTCGTCCCTTGATCCGTCCATTGAGGCATCGCCACCATGGGCACCCCCAAACTCAGTGCCTCCAGCATCGAGTTCCACCCGCAGTGCGTCACGAAACAACCCACAGATTCATGGTTCAACACCTCGAGCTGTGGGCACCAAGAAACGACTAGGCCCTTTTCGTCGGATGGGTCGAAACTCGGAGGGAACTTTTCCTCCTCAGAGGCCCTAACAACCCACAAGAAGTAATGATCGCTGTTCTTCCACCCGTAACATAGTTCTTCCATTTGGTCGGAGCCTAGACATGCCATGCTACCAAACGAGACGTAAATGACCGAGCTCTTGGGCTTGTTGTCCAGCCAATTCATGCAGAGTTTGTTGTTGGGCTTGAAGATGCTGAACCCATAATCTTCATCGTCTGGCAATTGCTTGTCCAAATACATGGATGGGATTGTTGGGCCGACGGTTTTCATGGGCCAGATCTTTGAGAGAGAGACGATGAGCTTGAGAAAAGAATCAAACTCGATGGGAAAATTAGTGATCAATAAGATCACCTCTTGCTCCAGTTCATAGACAGTGTTGCAGAGAACCCAATCGGCCTTATCAATGTTGTCGAATTGCGCCAAGAGCATCTCGAAAGCCGACGGGTAAGATCCATAGACAGAGATGAACGATGACATGTCTTTCGGCTGCAGGGGAGGCAGCCCTAGAATCAGAGTCCGCGCCTCCAGAATCAGCATCTGAAGCAAACCTTCACGAACGTGGTAATAAATGCTCTCCACAGCACACGACTGAGTGAAGAACGCGGCCCCTGTCAGCCCGAACATTTTTGCTACGTCGAGGCACCACGGGACGAAAGGGTCGTAAATTATGCAGGTGGCAAGGCACTCTGTTTTGTTGAGGTCGGCAACGAGTTTGGAGAGAGTTTGGGAGCCGACTCACTGGAAGGTGGAGATGTAGGCGTCGGTGGCTTCCGATGCGGCGGATCCGTCGTCGTCGAAGCCGTCGGAGATGGTGGCGAGGTGGATGGCGGAGGAGGAGGAGGAGTTGGCTACGGTTTTGGAGATGAAGCGGGTGTTGACGAGGGTGACTCGGATGCCACGTGGGACGAGGCGTTTGGAGAATTGGAGCATTGGGTTGATGTGGCCTTGTGTTGGGTAAGGTATGACGAGGCAGTGAGGTTGGGAGGGAGATTTGGGTTTGGGAGTGGAACTAGTTTGGTTCTTATTGGCCGCCATTGTTCAGTTGAAGTTTATATCCGGGACCAGTTTGGTTTGATCGGAAAGAGAGCTTCAAATAATATATAGGTCGGGATGTGATCATAATAAGTGTATATGGTGAAGTCCAAATTTCAAGGTACGTACAAGAGTTGATAGACAATTTGAATTATTAATACGAATTGAATTTGGAGACGAATGTTGTACGTCTTTGCTATTCGATTAGAATGACCTCCACTAGTATTTGGCATTTTGTTAAAGTGACCTTTCATGAATTAGCAATATCACAGCACAATTTGTGCACGACACTTAGGCCAATTGGGTTAGTTTAAACCAAAAAGAGAAGGACATGCAAAACCAAATTCGCTCTAACTTGATAGATACATACAAGAAATTGATGTTGCATTGGATCAACTTGGGACACTTCAACCACTGACTAGTTGTTGATAACAATATTCGTAAGCTACGGGTATGTATTGTCCAATCTTGACTTTAATCTACTAGTCAACTGTTGATGAATTGGACTGTCTGTTTTTTCTTTGAGCAATTTTTCATTAGTACGCATGAGAGGTCAAGGTAACAATATAGGTAAGCTACGGGCATGATATTCAGCTTCAGCAGATCGAGCAACCATCTTTTGGTTCTTAATACGTTATGATATCTGAGTACGATAAATAAAGAAACCACTGGTGAAGCGACGAGTACTCTCACAACCGTTCTGATCAACATCATAAAATAAGCAATCTAATTGAGTGTAGTAGCAACATGAAAATAGAGACTTTGCTTGCTCGAGGGATTGTTTGAGGTTATAAAGAATACAAATAACAGCTTTCATGTAAGCTTAAGAAGGAACATGCACGAACTGACTAAGAATATTAACACCCTAAGTAATATTAGGTCGGATAATCATTAGTACACCACAATCGTCCAAATCAACATTACAAAGAGCAACCAAATTGAGTGTACTAGCAACATGGAAAAAATATACACAAGGAGGAAGACGAAGGGACTGTGAGGTGTTCCCCTTGGTCCGTTATCGCAATATTTTTGCTGAAGCAAACCGCTGACTTTGCTAAATTCACCCGCTGACCACTCAACTCCTCGTATTATGGACATGAAGCTGGGGTTTTTAAAATATATGCAGCTATTCGATCGGGCCAATTCCGGCAAGTTTTTCCTCTTTCGATGGTTTTAAATTCTAATGCAAACATCGACCGGTGCAACAAATAGGACTTTTGTAGTATACAGCATCCATATTTATAGGTGTCAATCGAGCAGGTTCGGGCAGGTTCAATCGGGTTTGGGTTCCAACGGGTTGCGCGTTAGTCGGGTTGTGGGTTCATCGGGTTCGGGTTCAAACGGGTTGCGAGTTAGTCGGGTTTCGGGTTCATCGGGTTCGGGTTCAATCAAGTTGCGGGCAAATCGGGTTGCAGATTCATCGAGTTTTGTGTCGGGCGGGTTGCGGGCGGATCGGGTTTTGGATTGTTCGGGTCAGGGCATCGAGTAACTTACTCATTAGTCGTTACCAACTTACACATTTTATTACACTAATTTAAAATATTTTTCTCAACTTTCTAACCAATTTATTTCTACATCGTATATATATACTTAAAAAAAAACTAGTCAAAATGTTAAATCAATTTGTATGACTTGCAAACTTGTTATGTAATTAATCGTAATTGGTAAAGTACACTAGCTAATAGTAATGGTGATATCAACATTTGCAACCAAAAGACACCATTAATTGTTTATGTGATATTTTTGTATTATTTCAGTAGTAATTGGATTCAAGTATCTCGTTTAGTATAACCATGCAAATCTGGTATTTGGCGTGTGGTATTTGGCAAAAGCAGAGTGATAAAAGGATTTATTTCGAAATAACTCTTTGCCCAAATAACTTCAGTAAACTGTTGCCAAACGAGTTATTTGTAAAATTGTTCGAATTATCCTAAAAATTGAACCATTAAAGATTAACTATTAAATTTAGTAAAATTATTGTGACTTCAAACATAACTTACTGAATAACATATATCCTATACACTTAGCCTTACCCTTACTCCCAATCGACAATATTAAGTTAGTATATGTTTTTGATTGTATACGCTAAACCATCAATACATTATACACTAACCACATATCCTATACCCTAATCATATGTCCTTATGAGTTGTGATTTTGATAGTATAGTTAATTTAAAAGTGAAATTCATACTTTGATTTTCAAAACATAGATAAAAAGTGATATTTGCTAATTGTTATACCCTAACCATATATCCTATACTCTACACCATATACCTTATACCCTAACCATGTACCATAAACATAAATTAGTACTTAACTCCTGCCGTTAAAGACTTCAAATGACTTCAAGTGAACATATGTTAATAAAAAACTTAGAACCATCAATATCTTATACCCTAACCATATACACCATAAACCATATGTACCTTATACCCTAACCATATACTTTATACCCTAAACAACGAACCGTCAAAGATTACTTATCAAGTTTAGTATACTTGTTGTAACTAATGGTTAATTTATTTATTAGCCCATAAGCAATTACATACATATATATATATTTTGGCATTCAAAGCATATAAGAATATATTAACTAGTCATGCCCTCCGTATAAAAATTAAAGATTCATATGTCAAAGGTTAAAATTTTGAAAATACAAAAAGTTGAAAACACCAAATTTGTTTCCTTCTTTCTTTTCACAAAAAAAAACCCTAAAATTTTCCTCCTTCTTTCTCCTTCTATAAATTAGAAACACTCAATTTTCCCTCCTTTTTCTCTTCCATAAAATTGAAAGAACCAAATTTCCCTCTTCCTTCCTTCCTTACACAAAAAGTTGAAAACTTAAAATTTTCTTCCTTATTTCTCTTTCATAATCAAAAGAACCAAACTTTCCCACTTCTTTCTCTTCTCACAAATCAAAACCACCAAAATTCTCACTTGTTTCTTTTCTAAAAAATTCAAAAAACCAAATTTCCCTCATCTTTCTCTTCCCAAAAAATTGAATACACCAAAATTTCTCTCTTCTTTTAAAAAGATCAAATTACCAAATATATTATTTTACTTTATTTATATTTAATTGATAATTTTATTGAATAGTTATACTACAACAATTTTGGGATATTATGTCAACGACATTCGTCACAACTGATCCAGCTTTTGTCATAATAGAACTATTATGACAAAATTATTTGTCATAGAGTTGGTCAAAACTACCTCGTCGAAATAGCTCTATTATGACAAAAAATACTCTTCTTGTCACAACATGTTCCAGTGGCACGCCGTCCACATTTTGTCATAACAAGCATCTTTTTATGACAAAATGTTTTATCAAAATACAGAAATGCTTCGTCACAATACGTTCTTAATTTTTGTAACGATAGTTACCACTTTTGCTACGTTGTTGCGATGAATGTATAGTTTGTCATAGCAAACCTATTTTGAAAAAGCCATGTGATTGTCATAATATTCAAACTCAGACTCCACCTGACATTTGTCCTGATGAAACTTGTTTGTCATAACATGATACATATATGACAACCTGTGAGCATTATTATGACAACCTATTTTCCAAATCTAATTTTATTCATACCACAAAGCAAAAGGTACATCATTCAAATGTATCAAAAGCTACATCATTCCTTACCGAAATAACAAACTACATCATTCATAGTTACAATCTGTTCCAAAAACCTACCGATCCATCCATCCAGACACAAAAACAAAGTCTTCCAAAGCGACATATGTTCGTCTTTCAAAAGAGAGTACTAAATAACAAAAGCTAACAGCCTTCCAAAGGTACTAATACTCATGATGTGGTCCTTGAGCATCCAAAATGCATGCCTACTGCCATATACCTAGGTACATGCGTAATACAGCGATCAAAGTTTGAGTAAAACTTATGAAATAAAATTGAATTGAGTAGTAACACCGATGACAGTATAAGTACAACTTATGAGACTAGAATTTTACCTTCAGCTAAACTTGTCTTCCATCAATTTTTGCAGCTAGTGACTCGACATATTTAGTTAGGGTCTCCTGTGATGCTTGCAACCCTTTGATATATAATACCATTCTGACTTTGTATCTCCTGTTGCTGGTTTTCTATCTGCTCCTGTTGTGCATGAATCTGGTCCTCAAATTCTTTCCTCCGCCTCTCTCCCACAGCAAGTGTCTCCTCCAGTCGTGCCTCCAATTCTTTCTCTCTTTGGGAACTCGAGCTGACTTTTCTGGTATAGCTGGGTGCTTTTTCCAGCACCATAAGAACAATCTCAGCACCGGATAATATTTTCCCTTCTGCCACTGCTTCAACATGGATTCTTTTCATTTCCTCCTATGAACACAACAGTGGAGTCAGAGTACTTGCTAACATCCAAATAGTAGCTAGGTTTGCTAACAACCAAGTTCATTCACTTACATGACTAACTTAGCTACAATCAGACCCTA